GAAATTAATTATTGAACTTACTCAACTCCCAAAGAATCTGCTAATTTAATGATTTTGAAGTGTATTTCCCTTTATGCATATTAATCATTTTATCACTAATTGTTATTTTCACTAAAATCTCTCTACATTTTTTACATATATTCTGGAAAAAAAAGAGTTTATTTAGTATCTAAAGTGGTTCTAAACCTTTTTACTCTCTGGTTATTTTCATACAAGCTAAGATACTAGTGTTTACTAGGAATTGTTTCTTTATGAATCTCAGTGTTTTCCTTTAGTGTCCAAAAGTTTGTGAGGCATTTCTAAGGGATAAAGGATTTCCCATCTTTATTCACCATGTGAACTGCACTACACAAATGAATTCTGGGCAGTGAATCGAGAAGGACACAGATGTGAAAGTCATGAATTTATAAATTGTTTGTTAAGAGGATGCTTTTGTCCAATCAGTGCTTTGTTAATTTCTCCTACAAGAAAAAAAAAATATTCAATTATGCCTCTATCTGACAAAAATCAAATGACAAATGTGTCAGAATGTGAAGGTAAAAGGTTAGCCAGGATTCTGGAAGATAGCCCAAAATTTTAGAGACAGCTGTGAGGAAGTGGATATATACCCAAACTGACCTATAACATTAATTATAAGTCCTTTTTTGAATATTCATAAGTCTTGCTAAATGAAAGATTAAAAGATCTGAAAATGTAAAACCATAATTTTCTATCTCTGTGAAATACAATTAGCCTAAAAAATATATCTTAACACCTAAAAAAGTAAAGTCATACTCCTCTTTAATTTTTTTTTAAGTACCAATATATTTTGAAAATGTTTTTAGTTTCAATAATGGTTTTTGTTTGCAAAAAATTTATCCCTATTTCTTAGTGGTATTTTTAGTATATCACATTGCCAGACACAAAATCAAAGGTAGCAAATAGTTCTTTAAATGACCAAACAGTAAACACATAGCTTTGTAGGCCATGTGATCTCTGCCCCACCTCAAGCAACCCTACCACTGTAATAGCACATACATAGGCAATGTATAAACAATACTTGTAGGCAGAGTTCCAGTTAAACTTTATTTACAGAAACAAGCAATGGACCAAATCTGACTCACAAAATCTAAAGTTGTTACTTTATAGAAAATGTTTGCTGACTCTTAACCTATAGACCTTTAAGGATCCTCTTTAATTTTATCCTTTTTAAGGATAAAATTACAGCGCATAATGCCCATGATTATCCTATTAAGTGCCAGGATGTATCAGGAAGTTTGGCAAATAGCTAAAATCTTTTAAAAATCCTCTGTTCCTGGGCCCTCCCTGGTGGCGCAGCAGGTTAAGGCACAGCACTGAGAAGCTGAGGCCTCTTCCACATGAGCTCGATTCCCGCCTGCCCCGGAGGTGACCACATGGCTGGCAGACCTCTCCTGACCCGCCCGCTGCTCCCCTCAGCAGTGTACTTCGTAGATCTGCTTGTTCTGCTCCCCACTCTGTCTCTGGGGGGCCTCTCATCACCCCTGAGCCATACAGAGCATGTACCCCAGCTCTGTATGCACAAATAAATAAATCTTTAAAATAAATAATAAAAAATAAAAATCCTCTGTTCCTGTTTTCATATCTTAATCTGAAGACACTAAACAACTTCTTTGTAGCTGGTACTCTTGCTGGGTCATTTTCTGTAACAGATCAGTTACTTTGAAGAATTTTTCTATCAGAAATTTAGATGCAATCAAGACAATAACCATCTCTGTGGAGGAAGAGAAGACTAGAAATTATAGTTTACCTTGCATTAGACGCTAGTCCAGTACAGCTGTCATAGCTGCCTCACATGACCCCTTAGGGAAGATTTAAAAACATTTTATCGGTGAGATATAGCGCCAGGTATTTTTGTCTGTGTTTCACATGTCAGGTTTGGAAGAAGCAATTGTTTTGAGGCCAACTGATCTTATGTGCTTTATTTGGACAATAATTTAGTGCTGTTGTCATCGAATAGTAAAATTCCTAAGGCTATAGATAGAAACAAAGTTTTGGAGAGAGTGTTATTTCTCTGTTGTTTAAATCTGAAGGCTAGTTGTTAATCATGAAGTCATTTCTTTTGTGCATTTCTTCTTTAAATTTTACTTTTAAAATGTTTTTTGAGGTAATGTAATTTACAACACTATGTTTGTTTTATGTGTATAGATTCATAACTTTACAGATGTCTGCTTCTCCTCCTTCCAACCTCCCCTTTTTTACACATTTCCTTGGTGCATGTGAACTTGAATTCAGTTTGTTGACATAAAAAATGGTTTATATTTTAATGCATGCATGAATCCCTTAAATGTGGTATCTAAAGAATCAGTACTTTTTAAATTATATTACGAAGTCTTTTATTTGCTTTCAGAGTCATTCTCTAGCTTCCTTAATGCTTATTTTTAGTTTTCAATCTTTCTTCTGTGACCCTAGCTTCTTGGCTATTTCTTCTGTTTTCTTTCCTTTCAAATACCTTTTAAATTCTGTTATTCATCATTTACTACCCCTGTGTAGCCTCATGAACAATCATTACTTATATTTCTATTTATTTGCCCATAACCCCAAATTTATATCTTTAAAGTAGGTCTTTTTTTTTTTAACTTATTTCTTTGTGCATACAGAGTGGGGGTACAGGTCAGAGGTGCAGGGGCAGTGAGAGGATTCACCAGAGACAGAGCTGGGAGCAGAACAGGCCGACTGACGAAGTACACTGCTAAGGGGAGCAGCATGCGGGTCAGGAGAGGTCTGCCATACCATGTGGGTCACTTCCCGAGCAAATATCCAGGTCACTCTGAAGTAGCTTTAGCTTCTCAGTTCTGTGCTTTGACCCGCTATGCCACCAGAGAGAGCCAAACTAGGTATTTTTAAGGCTTAAATTCAGGCAGTCAGCAGCTTATTGGATATTTTCACCCACTTGTCTCATAGTATAAACTCTCCCAATTCTTGTTGAATTTACCCGTACTTATTCCCCATTATAGTGGTTACTACCACAATCTGCACAGTTGCTAAAACTAAAAAGTGTCATCCCTAACTCTTCCTTCTTCCTGGCTTAACAAGCAGCCAATCTCAAAAATACTATGAATTCTACCTCCTGAATAGCCCATGAATATATCTTTCTCTTTCCTTTCACGTAACCTTCACTCCACGTTAGAACACCTGAATCAGTACAACGATCTCATTTTGTCTGTTTTAGCCTCTCACCCTTCTATTATTCCACATACTGTGATCCAGATAGCTTTTCTAAAACCAAAATCTGATCATGTTGCCATCCTCTATAAAAGTTTTCATTGGCGGCCCTCCCTGGTGGCGCAGCGGGTTAAAGCACAGCATTGAGAATCTGAAGCCACTTCCGCATGAGTTCGATTCCCGCCTGCCGCCTGCCTGGAGGAGACCACATGGCGAGCCAGACCTCTCCTGACCCGCCCGCTGCTTCCCTCAGCAGTGTACTTCGTAGATCTGCTTGTTCTGCTCCCCACTCTGTCTCTGGTGAAGCTTCTCACCGCCCCTGAGCCTCTGGCCTGTACCCCAGTTCTGTATGCACAAATAAATAAATCTTTAAAAAAAAAAAAAAAAGTTTTCATTGGCAGCCCCTCCCTGGTGGTGCAGTGGGTTAAAGCACAGCAATGAGAAGCTAACGCCACTTCAGCATGACTTGGATACCTGCTCGGGAAGTGACCCACATGGTATGGCAGACCTCTCCTGACCCGCCTTCTGCTCCCCTTAGCAGTGTACTTTGTCAGTTGGTCTGTTCTGCTCCCCACTCTGTCTCTGGTGAATCCTCTCACTGCCTCTGCACCTATGGCCTGTATTCCAGCTCTGTATGTATAAATAAATAAATCTTTAAAAAAAATTTTTTTTAAAATACAAAGTTTTCACTGGCTGTAATATAATTATTAGAATAAAATCCAGTTAATTAATGAAATTTACTCAGTCATGATCTCACTGGTCCCTACTCAACTCTCTAAGTTTATATCTCATTATTTTCTGCCCAGTTGGAGTGTGTATTAATTGTGACTGCTCTACTAAGAACATTCCTTCTCATTCCTAACTTATTGGCCTCCAGTTCTTATCTTCCTTAACAATTCTGCTCCAGCCGATTCTGAATTAACTTTTTACTGAGAACTCTTTTGGTACCTTACACCTCCCAATTCTTAGTTTTTGTTATCGTACAAATAATTGCCCATTTATTTGTCAAAATTGTCTAAATGTAGCCTTTTTGAGAGTAGAGACCATATATCCAAAGTCTATAAGTTAGGATAATTTATCTGGCACAAGTTGAAACTCATAAATATTTCCTTGTATAATGAATAAGAGTAATATGAGGTAGTCTGCACAACTAAAAGTCTATGGAATGGCCTTTTTCTTTTTTCAGCATGTTGCATATCTTTTAAATGATTTGTCTACACATATCAGAGGAACATATATATAGATCTTGTACCTTTTTAATGTTAGCATAAGTTTTAATGTTATTAAGTACATTTATCTCTGAGTTATTCAATCAGCTCATCTGTTTTAATATTTTTTGAAAGATTTACTTATTGATGCATACAGAACTGAGGTGCAGGCCAGAGGTGCAGGGGGGTGAGAGGATTCAGTGGAGACAGAGTGGGGAGCAAAACAGGCAGATCATCGAGGTACACTGCTAAGGGGAGCAGCAGGTGGGTCAGGAGAGGTCTGACCCGCTGTGTGGCTTACCTCCGGGATAGGCAGGGATCGAACTCGCGCTGAAGCGGCTTTAGCTTCTTAGTGCTGTGCTTTAATCTGCTGCACCACCAGGAAGTGCCTGTCTTAATTATTTCTATAAGAACCCATCATTGAAGCTTGTAATATAACCATCACAATAATCTTTTCTCAAAACTTGGTTATTTTCCCTTATTTATATCTTCATTAGTCTCCTACTGCTAGTAGTCCATAGTAATGAATTTGACATTTATATTTGTCCTTTAAATGTTCTATTTTTTATAAACAGAATAATACTAAGTTGGGTGTTTTATTTGTTACAGTCTACCCTGACCTTTGTACTATCAGCCTTGTTGCAATAAGTGATATGAATAAACATGCTGATAGAATTGCTTTTTGGGATGATGTCTATGGCTTCAATATGTCCTGTATGAAGAAAGCAGTTATTCCAGAAGCTGTTGTGGAAATTTTAGATCCGAACACTCTTATTTCAGATCCTACGAGTATTAAGGTAGGTATTTCATAACAATATTTCCAATTTTCTTAGTTTTCATTTATGAGTTAACTATTTAAATCTGGTTTATTGCTTTCATAAGCAGATCTTCAGTACAGTAGTTTTTCTTCCTATTTTAATAGGTCTAAATTAAAACAACATGAGAGAGAACATAGTATTTGCCAGTTGACTGTCATATTTGGAGTCATATCTCTTTATATAGAGAGAGAATAAGTTCTTGTAATGGACTGGAAAGTTTAAATGATTTACTTTGGTTTAGTGAGGGCAAAAAGTCTTGCTGTATTGTCATTCTGATTTATCATCACTCCTTGGCCTTATTCTAATTTTTCATTTACATCCAGATTATGTTTTTGTATCATATATTCCACACAATTTTTTTCTTTCAGGTTCTTCTAAACTTTTCATATGAAATAATTATACTGAATTTGCATATGAAATTAAGGTCCTCTGTTCAGGTTTCTCTGTGCCTTTTGTGTTTCATTATTGTATTCTTTACTCTGCTAATCTCTAGATTTATTGTGGATTTTTCAGGAAGAGGTCTAATTAACATGGGTTGAGTTATAACTGATGAAAAGTGATACGACTTTTCAAAACTCCTTAATTTGTCTGTTTTAATTAGTAATCAAACAAATTCAGCTTGTTCAACATTAGGTTTAGAATATTGCCTCCTCTAGTGACGCTATTACTATACCATCAACAATTACTCACTTCACAAAGCAGACATTCAGTAAATGTTTATTAATTTTCTTAAATGGATAATCTTTAAAAATTAGCATAGAATAATAAATATGCAAAGTTCCTTGACTAACACAAGCTGATTAAAATTGCATTCTGCTATTAAGAAAAAAAAGTAGACTGCTTATAGATTACAGGACTGTTTGTTGCTCTGGTACACTGATAGTAAAGGATTTATTTGGGCTCTTTGGCTCAGACTAAGATTGTTCCATGTTAGCCAGCTCAGCCCTAAAGCTGAGCAGAAGGAACAGGGCTGGGTGGGGAAACAGTTTCTCTCTCTAGTGATCTCTTTATTTAATCCTAAAAACTGCTGTGACTATCTAGTTAAAATAAAGAATTAGGACTGAAAAATGAAGGTGTTTTAATAAGTATAATACTGTGTTTTTTACACTAATAATTTCTTTGTTTATATAAATACCATTTTTCTGCATTCCCAGGGTCTTCCTAAAAGTCAAAGACAGTCACTCTGTAACTTCTTTTTAAATTTTCGCGTTTGAAAGTGTAGTACTCTAGTGTATTGTAAGAAGAATTGTGCTCACTGGAATATATACAATTCATGGCATTTCAGCTGTTGACATATTTAGAACATATTTCTGGTCAGAATTTCTATGTTTACCTTTGTGAAATGGATAAAGATTTGAACCAGAGGAGAAGAATATATTTTACCACTTTTTTTCTGAGTTGAATCTTTCTTTTTTTTCTTGTATTGGAACTGTTATGCTTTTCCCAAATATCTACTTACCTTCAAATGCAGTATAAAAACAAATTTTGAAACAACTTTTTTACCAGTGTGTTTTCAAGTTGTCATTTCTAATAAAATATATTGCTGCTGTATGGAAAATAATTTTAGTTGGAACACAAGAAGACATCTTTTATTTTAAAAGCATTTTGGTGTGTAGAAAAGCTTTAGCACATCTGAACTGTGATTTGACTGATACGTAGGAAGACTTACAAGCATCTAAGTAAAATATGTTTCATTTAAAGAGAAGACATAATGATAGCACCCCCAAAATTGGAGAGAATCCCAAATGTGGAATGCGAATAAGCCTTGCAAAACAATGGTTTTCAGTAATCCTTTTTGCATTAAGAAGTAATGGCTTTTGTTCTTTTTACTGTTTTTACAAAATTCTTCCCCCACCTTTTTTTTTAATGGGTAGCATATAGATTGCCATGTAACATCTATCTCAGATTTGGAATTTTCTTCAGATTTCACCCTGAAAATCACAAAGACATCCTTGTGCACGGTAAGCTATTTCATTCTACTTTGACAGTTTACTAGTAGTGCATTTGATTGGTAGACTAATGAATTAATTATAAGACTTGTGATAAATGGAAAAGACTATTGCCTTTGACAGTCTATCTTTGCCTTTGTTAGGTTATTGAACAGATCTGTTTTAATAGGTCTGTAGACTTCAAAAAGTTAGTTTAATTCAGAAGTGAAAAATTAGGAAACCATGTTTACATAATGAGTTTTCTTTATTGAGTCTTCATTATTACCTATTATATAATTAATTGAGAGCGCTCAGCTTTATCTTCAAAACTCAGCATTCGTTTTGTGCGGAGTAAGATGTATGTATTTATTTAATGTAATATTTTATATTCATGTATGAAAAATCATAAACTGGTGCTCTACCTTTCTTAAATAACTAAAATGATGTAGTAGAAAAAGTAGGAACTTTAGAAAAGTTTACCTTTGGTTCTGCCACTCACTACTTTTGTTACTGCATTCATTACCTAGGTATATTAAAACTAATTAACTGTTTTTTAAAAAATGGTAATAGTTCTGTCTTGTAGGTTGCTTGCACTGAGTAATGAGATAAAAAGCGCCTATATTGAAGCCAGAAATGTTGTTAATAAGATATAGTTATTATAAATAATTTCTAAATGTAAATTAAATCTAAGATAACAGTATTTACCTTTATCAAGAGACTTAAATGTTAATAAAATATGGGTCTTTTTTTTTTTCTTAAAAAAAGATGGATTAACATTAGAGGTATTCATACAAATATTTACATGATTTAAAATAATTACATAATTTTGATTACTAATTATATCTTCAGAAGATGAATTTTTATTGAAATTATGGATCAGATGTATAATCATGTTAACTTTGGCTAACTTTTTCTTATTTAAATACTATATAAATTTATATGTTTATATACATACTCAGATTGTTATATAAAAAATTCTTATGGCTTCTTAAAATTGTTTCTGCTTACTTTGATGCAATACTTATTTTACATCTAAGTGAGTTTAACAGTATGCTTTATTTTGAAGAATTTTTTTGTGGTTATCTTTTCTTTTTTAAGTTTTTTAAGGGCTTCTTGTTTTAAATTCCATCTTCCTGTTTTATGTGTTACTTCTGTTATTTTTTGTTTGATAACTCTGTTAAGATTATATGATAGACTATCTGTGTGACCTGTTTGAAAGGCATTTACTATTTGTTAATCAAAACTTAAAATCTTTAGACTTTTATTGACAGTTTAGTAAACAAATATTAAAACTATCTGCCAGATACTTTTCTAAAAATCTCTGGGCACAAAGCAAAAAAAAAAAGTAAAACCTACTATATGACCTGAAAAGACACTTACTTGAGAAGTGGCAAGTGCTGAGAACATTTCAGTATGAAAATAAAAATATACACAGGGTGCCCTGGCCGTTGGCATGCAGAAGAGAAGCTTTCCTGGAAAATAAATAAACCAACCCACCTTAATCTATTTATTTAGGATTTTTTAAGTTAGGAAAAGCAAATGACTCTATAAACAAAAATTAGTCAGTGAGCTAAATATAACTTGTGTGTTAATGTCTCAGCTCAGTTCTTTCCTTCTTTTTTAAAAGGTATATTTGCTAAATGATAGATAGGTTTAAGAGGCACTGATACTTAGTTTTGGATTGAGTTGAAACAAGTGTGAGTTAGAATGGTAAAATTTAAATATATTTTAAAAGCAACTTTAAAATGCTTACAACTCAAACTTTAGTAATTCCTTATTCTTAACATTCTTTGTTTTCATGTTACTTTTTAATTAAGCTTTAAATTTTTCTGATAGTTTAAGAAAAAAGCATCAAGATAAACCCATTTCATTGCAATTGTGTTCTTTAAATCTTCTTTCCACGCTTTTGAAAAGTCTCTGACAATAGAAACCAACTAATTCCATACTCATTCCTGAGTATTAAATCAGCTGTTAGTACTTTGGGGTGTAAATTGACCTAATTTTGACCTTGCAAAGCTAATCAGCTAAAGAAACTAATTATTAAAACACATCTGTGCTGCTTAGAAATAGTATGATTTGTCTTGAACTTGCATCATAGATTTTAGTGGGACATCTGGTATATATATTTAATAGACATCATTAAGTAAATTTTATGTGTTAGATCAAGAGTATTTCAAATTATGTGATTCCACCTCCATAGTCAGTCTTGTATTTCTCCTTGCGTAAATGACCATGTGATCTACAGGTCCTCACCTTTCTGCTCTTCTCTGAACCTCAATACTTGTACTTAGTCTTGGGTGACATAGGAATACTTGAATCTCTTTAACTTGTCTCAAGAACTGTTTTGTCTTTTGGGTTTTTTTGAATTAGTAATATGTGCTGAGAACATTAGAGATACAGCAACAAGCCCTTAGACTCTGACAACAGAATATAAGTTACCAAAATGAGGAAGAGAAGAATGAATGAAAGGGCACATTGGTTGGTGATAGACAGTGGTGACTGAACATTTGGTTATGAGTGTAGAGAAGTGAGAAAATGTATTTCTGAAACCTATACAGTAGGTTAATTTCACCTCAATAAAAATATTGTAAAGAATATGAGGCTGGGAATCAGAATAACTAAATTCTGGTCCTACCTTTGCCACTAGACATTATGAAAATTTTCATTTTCTGTTTCTGAAATGTGAAACAAGGGCCTACTCTTCTCTGAATAATCTCTACCATTCGTTCTAGTATAATTTATTGTAAGTTCAAATGTTTACCAATTAAAAATAAATAAGGGCCCTCCCTGGTGGCACAGTGGGTTAAAGCACAGCACTAAGAAGCTAAAGTCACTGTAGCATGATCCCCGCCTGCCCCAGAGGTGACCCACATGGTGTGGCAGACCTCTTCTGACTTTCCTGCTGCTCCCCTCAGCAGTACTTTGTCAGTCTGCCCATCTTTCTCTACTCTGCCTCTGGTGAATCCTCTCACTACTCTGCACCTCTGGCCTGTACCTCAGTTCTGTATGTATAAATAAGTAAATCTTTAAAATAAAATAAATCAATAAGATTTAGTTCATATGCATTAGATACTATGAATGACTTGAGAATTTGTCTACATAAATGAAGTTTTTGTAGTTATATAAGAAAACGTCCATATTTTTCAGATATGTAAACTGAAGGCAAATATTCATCATTAATAGACTGGATAAATAAATGTGGTGTGTTTGTGGAGTACTACACACCCATTAAAAAGACTGTCTTGCTAAAAGGTTGTACATAAAAAAAGGTTGGTGATAAACATCAGAATAATGGTTATTGTTTTGTAAGGGGACTTAGTCTTTGAAAGAAGGCATCATCAAAGCTCTGGGATCTTAGGAGTGGGGGTTACTTGGATCTGGGTAGTAGTTTAGTGTGTTCATGTTGTAAAAGTTCACTGAGTTCTATCCAAATGACTTTTATGTGTGCATTATACATTTGTACTTCACATTTTAATAATGTTTCTCCTAATGACGAAAAGTAACATCTCTATGTTCACCATATATATATATATATTTATTTTGCTAGCATTATCCCTTCTAGTTCCATCCTGGTTTTTTGTTTGTTTTTTATAGCTGAGTAGTAAGTATTCTGTGTGAAGTATTCACCATATCTTCTTAATCCATTCATATGTCATTGTGAACCTAGATTGTTTCCATAACTTGGCTATTGTAAATAGTGCAGCATTGAACATAGGAGTGCTTATATCCCTTTGAATTTGTTTTTGAATTTTTCAGATAAATACCTAGGAGTGGAATTGGTGGATCTGTATAAAGTATATATTTTTCATAAAACATGGCATTGTGTTACAAACCTTCTACTACACACAAAGAAATGTTGATTTGTGCCATGGCCAGAAAATGTGATTATAATGATCTTTTTGAGATATGTTTTACATGTTGTTCCCAATATGACCTAATTACAGGATTTTATAGAGTTTTTTTTGATTATCTGAGATTTTCCCACTATATGCCTTTTCCTTTATCTAATACAGGAATGCTTCGTCTCATGTTCAGGGGAATTCTGGTGTGTGCTGGCTTTTTTTTTTTTTTTTTTTTTTTTAATTTAAAGTCCAGGTGCACCCTATGCATTGCCTACAAAATTTTGTACACTTTTGCTTGATACCCTTTTACCTTTCATTTTCCCAACCATAGAGAGTTTAGTGTTCTAAACTAGACAGCAGAGGATTTTAACCTTCTTAAAATCTGGATTTCTACAACCTACCCTACTTAAATAGTTATCTTCCTGTTTTTATACACTCTCCTTTTAACCATAGCTTTAAGAAAAATATAACATTAAGAAAATATTAACTTTGTGGCATATACCCATTGACTAAAATAGTGGGAGAAATCACTGCAGTATTATCCATTATTTAAATCTGAGAACGTGAAAGTCCACAATATGAGGAAACTTAGCACTGATAGAGATTCCTATGCTTTTCACCTATTTTTAAAAGTCAAACTGTAAATAACTCCTCTGAATCTGCACTTTTAAAAACTGAGTTATATAGAATTTGAACATCAACTTGTTCTAAAATATAATTTAAGTAGATTGTTGAATTTCTTATGCTATATTACATTATCACTTTAATTCTAGATATAGGGTCACACTTGAAATCAGCAATGCTGAGGGTTACAATAAATTTGTGAGAGAAGTAATCACACTCAAACAGGCCTAAAATACTTATCTCAAGCACAGCAATAAGCATAAAATGGTTTGTCAAATAATCAATAATAGTGGACTCTTGATTTAGAGGTGTCAGGGGAGTTTTCCCTAGTCCTTTCTCAGAGGCTGCCAGTTGGCATTTTTAGATTGTGATAATAAATGAGCTTGACCAGGTATTTTCCTCTTTGATTCAGGCAGTTATCTCTGGAGTAATGACTTGTAAGGAAAATAATCTTCCCAATTTAGATTTTCTTTTCATTAAGATCTGGCAGAAACCATCATGAATACTGGCGTCCTAAAGCATCTGATGTTTCTAGATATCTGTTGTATTTACAAGAAAGATCCATTC